GATATCCACAGTTAACTAAAATATATTTTACAGGTATAAAGCTTATTATTTCAGGTAAAGGCAGTCCTTGTATTAAAAATCATTTGAGAGTAAGAGTCTTAGTCTCATATTGATTAGAAGACAGACAAAGCAAGGGAAATCTGCTAATTATAGATGAGCATTATTTGGGACAGTAGTCTCTCAGTCTGATTAATAAATTACCCAGAGCTCTGTATTGAGTGCAAGGGGGAGTCAGTTTATATCAGTTTTCTTTTTTTTTTTTTTTTAATCCTCACCCGACCAACCAGGGCCAGGGACAAACTGCAACCGAGGTACGTGCCCTTAGCGGGAACCGAACCCGGGTCTCTCTGTACTGCAGGCCGACGCTCCAACCGCTGAGCCAAACCGGCCAGGGCTATATCAGTTTTCTTATCAGTACACAGAAGGGATTTAAAATAAAGTACCTGTATAAAGAAAATATTTTTAGGTTTTTCTTTCATTAGAGCCAATTTCCTTCTTAAATTAAAGAGGAGACTTACATTTCTAACATCCTTCTCAAAAGTGGGCACTTCACAGGCTGTTTTGGAAGTAATTTAGAAATCATTGTAATGCTCCTAGTTTAACCCATAATTGTCTCTTGCCTGATGTACCATAACAGTGTCTTAACTGGTTTCATTTGCACTTTTGTCCCCTTCTAGACCATCTTCTACATTGTAATCAGTGTGATCCGTTAAAAATGTAAATAAAGATCCTCATTGGACTTAGATAAAATTCAGCTCACTGTGGTCCTGTTGGGTAGTGTTTGTCCCTGCCTCCATTCTCATTTCTTCCTTCTCTCTGCTTAGAAGGTATATTTTTTATTTTCTCTATTTTTTTCTTTTTAGGTATAAATTATATATAAATGCACAGAACTTGAGTATGAATAGTTACATATGTATATACCCATGTAACCACCACCCAGTTCAAGATACAGAATTATTGTTAGCATTTCAGAAGGCCCCCATTTAGTCCTTGTCACCAAACTGCTCATGATCTCTTTAGCCATCAATTAATTATGTCTATTTTTTTTTAATCCTCACCTGAGGACATTTTTGCATTTATCTTCAGATGGAGCGGGAGGGAGAGAGGGAGAAACATCTATGTGAGACACCAACACGACCCCACCCGGGGCCGGGGATAAACCACAACCGAAATATGAGCCCCTAGCGGAAACTGAACCCAGGACTCTATGGTCTGCGGGCCGGCCAAGGTGGGAAAGTGTTGTTTTTTTATCCTCACCCGAGGACATTTTTTTCCATTTTTTGTTCAGATAGAGTGGGAGGGAGAGAGAGAGAGAGAGAAACATCAATGTGAAGGGACACATTGAGTGGCTGCCACCTGCATGACCCAACCTGGGCTGGGGACAAACTGCAACCGAGGTACGTGCCCTTAGCGGAAACCGAACCCGGGCCTCTGGACCGCAGGCCGATGCTCTAACTGCTGAGCCAAACCGGCCAGGGCCCAGTTTAACACCTTTAAAAGCTTTAAAAGCTTACATTTTACTCATTTTTTTTTCAGGCATGTGGAAGGTTTGAATCATTCTTCTTTCCTCCATTGATTCCTAAGAAGGTTTCAAGTTTCTTTGTTTATATCAAGTGATAAGTACTCAGGTTAGTGTAAAGCTAAAACAGAATGTTCTTCAGGGTTATTGCTTGCTGTTTTCTGTAATCTCATCTTAATCTCTTGCTATACTTGATCTCATCAGTTTATCATTAAATGTAAAAATCAGACCTAGCTGGTTTAGCTCAGTGGTCCTGAGAGACCCCGGGGTTCTGTTCCTGCTAAGGGCATATACCTCGGTTGCAGTTTGTCCCCGGTCCTGGTTGGGTCCTGCGGGTGACAGCCACTCGATGTATCCCTTTCAGGTCGATGTTTCTCTCCCTCCCCCTTCCCCCTCCCCCCTCCCCCTCTCCCTCCTTCCCACTCTATCTGAATAAAAAAATGGAAAAAATGTCCTCAGTGAGGATAAAAAATCCATTTAAGGACTCTGGCTGGTTTTTCTCAGGGGTTAGAGCATCGGCCCATGGACCAAAGGGTCTTGGGTTTGATTCCCTGTCAAGGGCATGTACCTCGGTTGCAGGTTTGATCCCCGGCCCTGGTTGGGGTTGTTTGGGAGGCAACCAGTCAATGAGTCTCTCTCACATGGATGTTTCTCTTTCTCCCCCTCCCTCCCTTCCATTCTATCTGAAATCAATGGGAAAAAAATATATCCTTGGGGGAGGATTAACCAAAAAATCCATTTAGGCAAACTAACCGTCTTGTATTTAGTTCTTACATTCTTTTCATACTTTTAACTTCAGAATTTAAAAGAGGAGCTTTTCAAATCAAAATACCTTCAGTTATGGACCTTTTAGATCTAAGTCAAATCATGGAAAGCTGCTGAAGAGACTCATTCAGCAAACATTTGAATTAAGAGCATTGTACTTTGTGTATCCTATTAGCTATTTGTGTGATTAGCTATTCTTCTGATTTGGACTTGTTACAAGTTTTGTACTTTGCAGTAGATGGTGGACTTGAAATGTGTGGTTTTCCAGTTTATCTGTCCTGCTGGCTACATCATGTGAGTCTTTGGTGCAGACTTTTGTGAAGTGGAGGAGGCCAGGGTCTTCCTACCTTGTCATTGGGAGCTGTTAGGGGTTCATACTGGTTCCATGTTCTCAGGTCTGAAGACTTAAATTCAGGCATCTTGTCAGTTGAGAATCCTTCATTCCTGCAGAAGTTCAGATGTAGTGCTTCTATTATGTGGAAAGCTTTGTAGACTATAGAGAGATCCATGCAAGTAAAAGTTGATTTTGGTAAGAACAGTGTAATACTCGTTTAAGTAGGCTCCTGCTGGGAGTCTGGATGCAACTGCATAGCTTCTGACTCTGGCCTGCAGAGGCAAACCATGTTCTTCATCACCATTTTCTTCCCACTTTTTATCTCAGCCCTTTCTTCCACGTTATCCCATTTCAGTCAGAATGGGATGGAGAAATGGAGGCACTCAGGCATGGAGTCTGTTGAATAAACATTTAGCTCTCTTTGCTTGCAGTTTTTAAAAAAATGTTTCTATTTACTTTTTTGTTCCATCATACTTTTAAGTCTTGAAACACCGATAAGGAAATATTTTCTGCATATTCATAAAACATTCAGGAAGAAATTTTAATCTTTATGATTTTTAGAAAATTAGATACTCAAATGCTTACTACTTAACTTTACATACATACTAAATATAAGTACAAAACACAGTCCAACTTTTTTCAAACATTTGACTAGTATGGCATTGTTTAAATGTCGGCTGGATAAATTAAGTAATATTCCCACTTCTTGACGGTGGGAATTGTCCCTTACCAATTTTGTATCCGTTCTTTCCCATACCTAGTGGAGTACTTCCTATATGCCAGGTACTTTAATGTGTGTCTGATGAATAAGTCATTAACATCACTCTTTTTTTTTTTTTTTTTTTGGTACATGCCCCTAGCCGCTAGGGCCTAGCGGGGACTGAACCCAGGACTCTCTGGTCCACAGGTTGACGCTCCAACTGCTGAGCCAAACTGGCCAGGGCATCAACATCACTTTTTTTTTTTTTTATCCTCACCCAAGGACACTTTCCCATATTTTTTTTGTTCAGATAGAGTGGGAGGGAGAGAGAGAGAGAAACATCGATGTGAAAGGGACACATCGAATGGTTGCCCACCAGGGCCCAACCAGGGCCCAACCAGGGCCCAACCAGGGTCCGGGGACAAACTGCAACCGAGGTACGTGCCTTTAGCAGGAACCAAACCTGGATCTCTCTGGACTGCAGGCCAACGCTCTAACTGCTGAGCCAAACCCGCCAGGGCAGGAAAGTATTTTTAATAGCAGATTCCTAGGCCCATTTTGGGAAATTCAGATTAGATAAATTGCCATTATCTGCATTATCTTAAAGTTTTACATATTTATATACAGGTATTTGTTAAAATTTCCTTTGAATTTTTTACTAAATAGCTCAATAATTGGGGAATGAATAAACTTGATTACTCGAGAACCCTAATCTCTTATCTTCGTTTGCTTATTTATGCAGTTCATTTTCCTACTGTAAAGGGATCTCATTCCTTTGGTGCTCAAAACACATTTAATAATAATATTAATACTTATGTATGTAACACTTACTGTGGACCAGGTACTATTCTAAGTGTTTCATGTAAATTATTAGCTAATCTAATAATTATGACTATCTTTTTTTTTTTAATTCTCACTGGAGGATATTTTTTTGTTTATCTTCAGATAGAATGGGAGGGAGAGAGGGAAGGAGAGAGGGAGAGAGAGAAAGAGAGAGAGAAAGAAAGAAACATCGACTGAGAAGGACACATCGACAGGTTGCTTCCTGCACAACCCCGACCAGGGCTACGGATAAACCACAACTGAGGTATGTGCCCTTGGCCAGAATCGAACCCATGACTCATTTGTCCGCAGGCCCATGCTCTAACCAATTAAACCAGCCAGGGCAATTATGGCTATCTTTTGAGATAAAGTCTATCATCCCCCTCTTATAGGTGAAGAAACTATGGCAAAGAGGTTAAGTAACTTGCCCAAGGTCACACATACAGTAAGTGCACTAGTAATGGTATCAAGTGGTAAAAAAAACTAGATTCCTCTAAGTTGAGAGGGATGATGGAGGTAGAGAAGGTGTATGGTCATATTTGAATGCACACAGTATGCATGTTACTGATCCTGATTCTGTATAGTAAGTGAGCACTTATAAGCAATATAGACTTTTTTTTACTGAAACATGATAATATTATGAAGGTTGATTGAGTAAAACTACATCTGGCTGTGCTTGACAGTTTTCATATTTTTACTCATTTATATTGCTCCTCCAGTTTCATTATTCAGATGATGACATCATGTAAATAGACATATTCTCCAAGTTATTTTTGTACTGTTAATTTTCAGTTAAGCAGTTGTTCTGTTTGCTAGTGTGTTAAGATTAACTCTGAATATTTTCTTTCATTTCTTAACAGTACAGTGCTGTGGATACCAATCCGCTCTCTCTGTATGTCATGCATCCCTTTTGGAACACTATAGTAAAGGTAAGATGATTGATAGGCATGCACTTATGTTTTAGTAAGTTTTAAATTTTAAACTGATTTATGGAGTGTTACAGATGCAGCTGTCAGATTAATAAGATATCTAGAGAAACCACCCCTCCCATCTCCTTTCTCTTAGTCCACATACCTTTTGATTTAGCTTATTGTTGTATCTCAGTTTATACTCTGGAATTTATAATTTTGTAAAACTTTCTAAAAGTAATGTTCGTTGATTACAGAACTATTTAACAGAATAGAAAGAAGTGCTTTTTTTTCTTTTCATCAACTGGAGATTGTGGTTCACATTTTAATATAAATAACTCCAGCATATGATCTTTTAAGTTATAGCTTTTATTATAACTTAAATTTGCGTGTTGTGCTGTGCGTGGACAGAGATACTCCTCTACTTTAATTATATTGTAATTCTTTTGGAAAAAAATAGGTATTTCCTACTTGGCTGGCTCCAAATTTGATAACCTTTTCTGGCTTTCTGCTGGTTGTATTCAATTTCCTACTCCTGGCATACTTTGATCCCGACTTTTATGCTTCAGGTAAGATTTTTACTTTCAATATAAAATTTTAAATGTCTAAATAGAGGAAAATGACATGGTTATTTTTTGGTTTTATTAAGGTGCTTATATTTCTGAAAAATATTAGGTATTATAAGAAGTATATAAAATGTCAGTCCGGTGTGGCTCAGTGGTTGAGCATCAAAAAGTATAGAAAATGTTAGAATTGGATGTAAAGGTTAAGATGTGTTTTCACAATCTGTATGTATGTTTCTATTAAGTTTTAGAAACTAATTTGACTATTTAACTTAGATATGCTGTCTAAAAACAGAAGGTTTTGGTAAATAAAGAATAATTGGATTTATAAGAAGATGGAGGATTAGGACTGCAAAACTGCCTGAAAATGAATATAAGTAGAGGCCAGCGTACCTACTGATTCCAGAAATACCCCTTCCTCTTGTCTAGTTATGGGAGAAAAATCCCGTTTCTAAAGGGAATGTAAAGTCTCTTTCCCTCTGCTCAGCCTCTTACTTTTTTTTTATCCTCACCTGAGGATATTTTTCCATTTTTTGTACAGATAGAGTGGGAGGGAGAGAGAGGAAGGGAGAGAGAGAGAAACATCGACGTGAAGGGACACATCGAGGGGCTGCCACCCGCACGACCAACCAGGGCCGGGGACAAACTGCAACCGAAGTATGTGCCCTTAGCGGGAACCGAACCCGGGTCTCTCCAGACCGCAGGCCGACGCTCTAACCGCTGAGCCAAACTGGCCAGGGCTCAGCCTCTTACTTTTAATAATTCCCAGTTTTCTCAAAAAATGGTTCTTGGACCTTTAAGTATTTATTGACAGAAGTCTGGATCCTTATTGGGGAAGACAGGGAAAACAATTACTTTTTGGGAGGCGGTTTTCAGCTTGTTCCTATCTGGGACTCCATTGTCTTCTTTCACACCTATTCCTGTCTTTACTATCTTCCAACCCAGCTTCTGCCCCTGGCAATAGGAGTAAACCTGGAGTATATTTGCTATGGGGGTGGATAGTGGGAGACAGGTTTATTTTTATCATTCATTCAGTAGATGGAGTTGAGAGGAATAGAACATGAAGGTTGTAGATAAGTATTTTTTTTGCATTCTAAGTTAGAGACTATATTTTCCAAAAAGAATACTTATAAATGATATAGTCAGGAGTTTTAGTATTATAATTTATCTGTGTTCTGGGTTCAGCAGATTTTTGTGGACTAACCTGGAGAAATTAACAATCACTGAAAACATTGTTTTTGTAGGAAAATTTGGAGTTTGAAACACTTAGGAGTTTTGCTATTACAGAAATTCTGGGTATATATACCTAACTTTATCAACTGAAACTTTTAGCCGTAGCTTCTGTACATGTAATAAAATGGTAATTGAAGATCATAAAAGTACCATATGAATAATAAGATTAAATTTCATTAAGCATGGTTTTGATACTGTTTGTTTTGTTTTGTTTTCCTCACCTGAGGACATTTTTCCACTTTTTTGTTCAGATAGAGTGGGAGGGAGAGAGAGGAAGAGAGAGAGAGAGAAACATCGACGTGAAAGGGACACATCGAGTGGTTGCCACCCGCACATCAACCAGGGCCGGGGACAAACCACAACCGAGGTACGTGCTTTTGGTGGGAACCGAACCCAGGTCTCTCTGGACCGCAGGCCGACGCTCTAACCGCTGAGCAAAACTGGCCAGGGCTGTTTTTAGTTCTCTTAATAACTAAGTAAATATTCTTATTTAATTAGAGAAAATATTTCCAGTTAGAAAGTAAACTTTTGAGGCTGTCTTGAAGATTAAAATACAAATAATAAGAAAAAAAACAGCCCTGGCCGTTTTGGCTCAGCGGTTAGAGCATTGGCCTGCGGTCCAGAGAGATCCGGGTTTGGTTCCCGCTAAGGGCGTGTACCTCGGTTGCGGTTTGTCCCTGGCCCTAGTTGGTTGTGTGGGTGGCAGCCACTCGATGTGTCCCTTTCACGTCGATGTTTCTCTCTCTCTCTCTCTCTCTCTCTCTCTCTCTCTCTCTCTCTCTTCCTCTCTCTCCCTTCCACTCTATCTGAACAAAAAAAAAAATGGAAAAATGTCCTCAGGTGAGGATAAAAAAAAATAGAGAACTAAAAACATGTAACTATTATATATATTTCCCCAAATAATAGAACTTGAAGGATCAGATCAACTATCTAGTCCCAATATATTTGGGAAATGGAAGACAAAAGAAGTTAAATGACATATTTAGGTCACAGTGCTCATTGGTTACAGAGCCAGGATTAGAACCCAGGCCTTGTGATTCTTAGTTGTTCTAGCTTAGGGGGAAAAAGGTAGGTACAGACATTTCATTATGATTCTGATGTCCAAATCACCCAGTTGAGATAATCTGTCTATACTCAAAGCAAAAGGTCTTTTGTTTAGCTAATGTAGTAAGAGAGTATAGGTTGAAAGCTCAATACATGTTTATAGTATAACCATAAACAATGAGGATCAGATTAAATACAAGCATTTTTTAAACTCCAAAAACATTGCTTTTCATTTTACATAAGTAATTTTTAAGTAAAGATGAATAATCAGTCTTGTGTTATGATTTCAACACAAAACATGCCTATTGTTTATGAGGGGTTGGATAGTTACTTCTTTGTTGCTTTTTTAGAGTTTACTGATATATTTTAGTATTTACCTAGTTCTGCATTCAAAATATTATAAAGTATTATAACTTTTATTTAATAAATAGGAACTTTTGTTTTCCTCCAGCAGTATATGCGATGGTAAGAACGATTGTACTTAGACTGTATTGAACTCTGAATTGCTTTCCTTTGCAGCACCAGGTCACAAGCATGTACCTGGTTGGGTTTGGATTGTAGTGGGCATCCTCAACTTCGTAGCCTATACTCTAGGTAAGTAATTGGCGAATACTCACTTTAGACAGTGGCTGGTGAATCTGTTAGCAAGGATAGCTATGCACTAAATTAACATTTTCTCATATGCTTAATTCATTTTAATAAGGGTTTGTTAATATCCTGTTCAATTTAATAAATACATTGTTTAGTTTCTCTGTGAAAAATATTGTTATTCATTGCTAGGGATTTAAAGCATAAGATAGCAGTTGGCAAACTACCACTTGTGGGCCAGACTGGCCTGTTGCCTGTTTGTGTGAGTAAACTTTTATTGGGACACAGCTATGCTCATTCCTTTACATACTGTCTATGGCTGCTTTCCTGCACCAAAGACAGAGTTGAATGGTTGCCAACAGAGATTGTTTATGTCTATAAACTGTTCCCTAATTGGCTCTTTATAAAAAAATATTTGTCAGCTTATGGAATAAGACATTACTTTTGCCTTACATTTGGGAAGCAATACTGACATACCAAATAATTGCAGAATACTGAGACACTATATATAGAGTACAGTGGGGGGGACAAATAAGGAAGTGATCAGTTCTTATTTGGTGGAAGGACTGGTCAGGGAATTCTACTGTACTAGCCATACTGTCTATTCTGCCAAGAATGCTTTTATTGGATTATCTGAATGAATGACTTACCCTGCATTCTTTTTGTGTCCTTTCCTTCTTTATTTTTCTCCATAGCATTTACAGTCTTATGACCCAGTGTTCATTTACTTGTCTACCTGTTTGTTGTCTGTCTGCTCCAAAATAAAAATTTCTTGAGGGTGGTACTTTGCTTTGTTCACTACTGTGTATTCAGTGTTTAGAACATAGTAGACACTCGGTATATAGATTTTAAATGCATGTGAAGTAGCAGACTCCTGACTTTAAGTTGCTTAGATCTCTTCAGAGAAAAATGACTGACATTAATAAAACCAGTATAATCTGGTACATGATTAAATGCTGACATGGTGGATGATCAGAGCTGCAAGTCACAAAACCTAATTAATATGTAATTCATGAATTCAGTATTTATTATAACTGCATAGGAGTTGCACTGAAAATGGGAAATTAAACTAAGGGCAGAAGACCTTATATAAGAGAGATCTGCAGTCTGCGCAGTTCAGCATTCATCCTTTATATATTTCTTTAACAATATTTTTGAAAACCCTCTTTGTCACAAACTGAGCTAAGCACTGGGGTAATACTATGGTGAGCAAGAAACACAGTAATTAATACGAAATTTCTAATTCCTTTAATCTGAATCTTTATACAATTAGCCTAGTTCTAATGCACTTAGTTAATAAAACTGTTTCTTTTGGGGAGAAATTTTAACAATTTAGACTTTTCCTTTTTAACTAGGTTTTACCATTCTCTCTCTCTTTCTCTCTTTTCTCTCCTCCCTCCTTCCTCACTCTCCTGTTCCTTTCCTCCTCTTTCTACCTCCCCCTTTATTTTCTCCCCACCAGTTCCTCTGTTTCTGCCCCTAAATGAAGGTATTCCACTATACTTGATCCTTAATTTTCTCATAATTTCCTTGGTATTCCTGATTCTTAACACTATTGAGATGATTCCCTTGTTTATAGCTAGCTGCTATCTTCTGAGTTACTTATAAGTACCCTTGGGCTGAATTACTTGACATTGCCATGTGAATATGTGGCTAACACTTCAATTTCAGCCTCTTAAATTGTACCCAACATCTTTTCTATCAGTCTTACTGACTTCCTTATTTCTATTAACACTGTAGTGTTAGCCAGACTGGAAACTTTGGAGATGGTCTTCTTGTCTTTCAGCCTCACCTTTCATTTGTTGCTACCTTGTCATTTTTATTTACTTACTAGCTCACATGTCTCCAGCTTTTCATTCATACCGTATTCCATCTCACTGTTGGCTGCTAATTAGCATTCCTCTTCCAGTTTGTCATTCATGCTGATGTCAGGGGAATCTTTCTGAAGCACTTCATTGAGTTGACTCTTGTCACTCTCGTACTCAGATACTTTTAGTAGCTCCTCCTAAAACTTTTAAATTGGCTGAAACTTCCCATCTACCCTCTTTATACTGCCCTATTCACATACTAGTTTCTAGTCAAAACTAAACTACTTGGCTTTCTCTGAACAGGCATGTGCTTTTCCATCTCAGTGTTTTTGCTGATAGCACTCCCTCCTCTTGAAATGACATACTCCTTTATCTCTTATCTACTGAAATCCAACTCATTCTTTATATCCCCACTCAGATTTCATCTTGTCTTCAAAGCCATTCTAGATTATCTTAGCCTGAAGAGAGCCTGTCCCTTTTCTATACTCTTCTATGGTTTATGATACACTGTTTTTTAATTTTATTTTTGCTACAGATGTTTCTCCTTTTTTTCCCCATTGACACCCCCTTCCCCATCCCCCCACCCCTTCCCCGGCTTTGTTGTCCGTGTCCATTGGTTATGCATACATGCATATAAGTTCTGTGGTTTATCTCTTCCCTTCCCCCACCACTCCCTCTTCTGAGGGTTGTCAGTCTGTACCCTACTTCCACATCTCTGGGTTTACCCTGTTCCTCAGACTGTTATGTTCATTATATTCCACAAATAAGTGAGATCATGTGGTATTTGTCTTTTTCTGCTTGGCTTGTTTCACTTAGGATAATACTTTCCAGGTCCCTCCATGTCGTCTCAAAGGATAAGAGATCTTTCTTTCTTAACAGCTGCATAGTACTCCATTGCGTATATGTACCACAGCTTTTTTATCCATTCGTCTACTGATGAACACTTGGGCTCTTTCCAGATCTTAGCTATTGTAAATAGTGCTGCTATGAACATGGGGGTACATATATTCTTTCTGATTGGTGTTTCTGTGATACACTGTTTTTAATTATCATGTTTTTTCTCCTTTTTCAGTTGTAAACACAAACTTAGTTTATTCTAAGATTCTTGTAATCTTTACAAAATTGAGAATAGTTGCATAGATTCAGTAAATTACATTTACTGAAACTTAGTATGTACAAAACTTTTTCTGAAAGCAACTGAAATTGTGGAGGTGGTAGGGCTGTAAAGAAGTGACTGTAAACAAGATAAAATAAGTGTTGTAGCTGAAGTACAGATTGTTTTTGGATCTTAGAGCAAGGAGTGTTTAGATGAAATATAATGAATAACTATTGAATGTTTTCTGGAGGCTTGAGAATTTGTGGTTAGTGGAATAATTCAGTTGTTAGGCAGATTTGGAGAAATTCTGTGTCCAACTAGAATTCTGAGTGCTGCTTCCTCAGGTCTAAAATTGATACCATTCAGTGTAATAAACATTTTAATTTTTAGATTTAACTTAAATTACTGATTTTTTCCCCTGAAATCTTTGAGTTGTAGGAATTAAAGGTTAGATTTTTATAGTGCTGGCTGGTAGCTATACTTCAGTTAATTAACATTCCTGTGATATGCTGATTTGTTTTGTTTTGTTTTCTCAAATTTATTAAAAAAGACTTTGTTATACTAGTACCAGTTTGACCTTTTCCTATGATAATGTGTTTCTGTTGCAGATGGTGTGGATGGAAAGCAAGCCCGCAGAACCAATTCCAGCACCCCCTTAGGGGAGCTTTTTGACCATGGCCTGGATAGTTGGGCATGTGTTTACTTTGTTGTAACTGTGTATTCCATCTTTGGACGAGGATCATCTGGTGTCAGTGTTTTTGTTCTTTATCTGCTGCTATGGATTGTTTTGTTTTCTTTCATCCTGTCCCATTGGGAAAAGTATAACACTGGGGTTCTTTTCCTGCCATGGGGATATGACATTAGCCAGGTGGTAAGTATATATTTTAACTTAAATTTTCAACATTGCGTCAATTTTGGGGGGGTAGTTTTCATCATTCTTTCTTTATTGCCCTTATGCTTTTTTTGATTAGAACTGGTGTGTGCTTTTAAAAAAACTTATATTATTTATGGAAAATTTCAAACATATACAAAAGTAGAGAGGATAGTATAGTGAACCCTTATGTCCCTGTTATTTAGCTTCAGCGGTTATCAACACATGGCCAGTCTAGTTTCATGTATACCATTTCTCACTCCCTTCCTCCCACCCAATTATTTTCAAGGAAATTTCTGAAATTATATGATAAATATTTTACTGTTAATCTCTTAATGGTAAGAGCTCTTGTTATTTATTTATTATTATTATTTTTTTATCCTTAGCCGAGGATATGTTTTGTGTGTTTTTCTAAATTGATTTTAGAGAGAAAGGAAGGGAGAGAAACATGGATATGAGAGAGAAACATTGACCCGTGCTTCCTATCTGAAGTCCGACGGGGGATCCAACCTGAAACCTAGGTATGTGCCCTGACCGGCAAGCTAATTCACCACCTTTTGGTGTACTGGGCAACACTCTAACCAAGCAAGCCACTCAGCCAGGGCAGTAAGAGCTCTTTTAAAAAAAAACATGAACATGGTCGGGCGGCATCCTGTGCGCTGAAAGGTTGCTGGTTCGATTCCCAGTCCGGGCACATACCCAGGTTGTGGCTTAGTCTCCAGTGGGAGGCATGCAGGACACAGCTGATTGATGTTTCTCTCTTTCTCTCCCTCTCCCTTCTTCTGTCTCTAGAAATCAATAAAAAATCTTAAAAAGAAAACAAACACAATGCCCTTATCACACCAAAAAATGAACAGTTTCTTAATGTTAATAAACTTCATTTTAACTGTTTTTTTGTCCTTGTCGCCAACTTTTCAGTGAGTAGAAAGATGTGTTTTCTTTTACTTAGTAGTCTTGCTATTAACTCTCCCTGCCTTTGAATCATACTTTTTGTGTTGCTATTTTGCCCATTTGCATTGCACTTAAGTCTCCATTAAAGAGTCAGAAGTTGAAATGTTTTTGATGAAAAAAGTGATTGGGTGGGCAAACTGGATCATCTTATGGCTTAACCAACTTATGAGGTACTTAAAGTATTCCAAGTGATGGCCAGTTGCTTGCATTGTCTAGAAGTTAGTTATTCTATAGCATTGTTGGCTGAAAAAAATTTTTTTAAAGGCAAGAAGACTTGCCACAATATCAACTTTAAGCATACTTCTTGCTTTTACTAAAACTGTTGACTAGAGTTATGCTGCATAAAGCATTATTGATCTCCTGATCTTTCCAGCTGTTAATGCCTCTGTATGCTTTTGTCTGCATTTGCCTTCCAGACTATTTCTTTTGTCTACATAGTGACTGCGATTGTGGGAGTTGAGGCCTGGTATGAACCTTTCCTGTTTAATTTCTTATATAGAGACCTATTCACTACAATGATTATTGGTAAGAAGCTCCATGTTGAAGCCTGTTTTAACATCACTTTGTTTGATTATAACAAGCAGCAACACCCTTCCCCCTTCCCCACACCCTCCAGCAAGCAGAACAGCCCAACAACCCGTAGGATTTCAACCTAATCATTAAGGAAAATAAGGTTTTTTTGTGTGTCTTTTTGTTGTTGTTGTTGTTGTTCAGCATCAAGCTGTTTTTAATGAGAAGAAAATACCAAAATAGATTGCACAAACTTGGAAACTATTTAAATTAATCTGGGTTGTCTTGGAGGATCCACATGTAGGTGACATTTGGTACGGGTTTTTAGTTATCTCAAATTGAAGATTATTAGTTTGTAGGAAATAGAATAGAGATTACTTTATCCACTCCAAAAATTGAGCCTCTGCTCACCTCTGGTACCCTCCTTCTTAAGCTGTTGAATGCTAGGTAAAGGGTTTATTTTAATCATGGTAATATTTCCCTTTTGATTTTAGCTGAAGGGGATATCTACAGGATGACTGAGTGGGGAAGAGTGTTTTCTGTGGAAAGAGGCAAAAAGGAAAAGGACTGGATTATTTGGGGGCATCAGGAGTGGCACTAAAGATCTTTGTAGAAGTAAAAAAGCATACTTGTTGGCTATTGCTGTTCCCTAATTTAAAAAATAACCCTGTCTCTTTGTATTGGTAAACCTTGGTAATGTAATGGGAATCCGATACCGTTTAGAAACTTTAGTCATTGGCTTTCAGAAGAGGAGTGGTTTGGGCTTTTTTTTCATGGCTCTGAGCCACAGATACTGTATTTTAGGAACCTTGCTCTAATCTACCAAACGTTCACTTTTTGGTACCTATATAAACTGTAATTACCTTGAAAAGGCTATTTTTCATCTCCCACCATCTAATGGATCTTTTGATTTAAGCTTGTCCTTTTACAGGTTTGCTGCATTTTACATTTAAATGTTAAATTTAAAGATAAGGTGGAGCCCTAGCTGGTTTGGCCCCAGCGGTTAGAGCGTTGGCCCGTGGACCAATGAGTTGCGGGTTTGATTCTGATCAAGGGCATGTACCTCGGTTGCCGTTTGTCCCCGGCTCTGATTGGGGTCGTGGGGGAGGCAATCAGTCGATGTGTCTCTCTCACGTCAATGTCTCTCTCTCTCTCTTCCTCTTTCCCTCCTACTATCTGAACAAAAAAGGAAAAATATCCTTGGGTGAGGATTAAGAAAAAAGAAGAAGGTGGAATTCTCCGATATATGAGACATAGTTTTGAATGTTAAGTGAGTGCTTTATTGGACACATAATTTTGTTTGTAATTTGTAAGTTTATTTGAATTCTTTTCTCTAAAATAAAACAGAATCCCACATGTTTCTGAACAAATAAGTAAAGTAGCTTTTCCAGTACTAGATTTGAGTAGACACAAATAGACAGAAGGGCCTTAGGGTCTAAGCTACTTAGTTTCTGCTGATGGAATTGATGGTGCTGATGCTGGGGTTGCTAGAGTAGACTAGAGCCTCCCATGAGGGAAGGAACGATCAAAGGTTGGTAGGAGGTGGAGTGACTCTTGTTTGCCATTATGGAAGCTTAACCTTCTTTTGGGTACCACAGATAAACCACCAAGATAGAAAGCAAAATCCCCCCCTTTCGCCCTGGCTGGTTTGGCTCAGTGGTTAAATTGTCAGCCTGCGGACCAAAGAGTCGTGGGTTTGATTCTGGTCAACAGCATGCATCTCGATTGCAGTTCGTCCCCAGCCCTGGTCAGGAGGCAACCATTTGATGTGTTGCTCTCACATTGATGTTTCTCTCTCTCCTGCTCCCTCCCACTCTATCTAACATAAATGGAAAAATATCCTTGGGTGAGGATTAAAGAAAAGATTCCCCCCTTTCATTTTTTCCTCTCTTTTTACTATGAAAATATTTAAACATCTTTTTTTTTCTATTTTATATAATAAATCCCTACGTGCCATCACCCAGCTTTAACAGTTTTCAATTTAAGTGCCAATCTTGTCTCAAATGTACCACTACCCCACAACCCTTGGGTTATTTTATAACATAAAGTCTTTTATACTTACCCACTGTTTACCATTTCTGTTGCATTTCATTCCTTTTTGTATATCTGACTAAGATGTGGTGTTCTTTCTCAGAAGTCTGATGTACTTCCTTTAGCATTTCTTGTAGAGCAGATCTGATAGCATTGTATTCTCTCAGTTTTTTGTTTATGTGAAAATGTTTTGATTTTGCCTTAGTTTTTTCCCCACCACTTTGAATATGTTATTCTAATGTCCAGTGGCATGAGTCAGCTCATGCATCATTGTCTCCCTGTGTGTAATGTGGGAAATTATCAACCACAATTCCTTCCTTCCTTTCTTCCTTCCTTCCATCCGTCCATGATTTCTATTCATCTGTCTTTTAGTTCACTGCTTTTTTTTTTCTATCTCCCATCACCTCTTAAAGCTATCTGGTCAATCTTTCATGGATCCTATCATTTATGATACTTTTCAGCTTTAGATTTTCCATTTGGTTCTTTTTACACTCCATTTCTCTTTTGAGATTCTCTATCTGTTCTTTCATTATTGCCATATTTTCTTTTAGTTCTTTGAGCATATTTAAAATAGCTACTTTAAAGTCTGTTTGCCAAACATCTGTAACAAAATAAATTAATTAATAAGACCAAAAAAGAAAATATGTTTGCCAAATTAAGCATGTGGGTCCACTTGGGAGTAAGTTTCTATTGACTCCTTTTTTAAAAAAATGTCTGCATTTTGCTAATTGCATTCTCACTGTGTCATTAACATGTTCCTCTATCCCTTGTTTTCCTATAAACTAATACATAGATCTATAGACTCAGATAAGAGTTTGATTTGTTTGTTTTGGCAACTATATTTGTTAGCTAATGATACTTTTAAGAGGCACATAATATCTAGTTGTCTCTCTTTATTTTGAGGTGAATAATGATCAGAGAGAGGGTTGAGGTATTATTTATCTATTCCCATATATTACAAAGTTCTGCATCAGTTCTTTACCATATAGTATTAACAGACATTGGTGATCATTGCTTGGGAAACCATTAATTCATTGGATAGCTAAGGGAATAAAGTTTGTTTTTAAAAAAATATCTAATAAAGTCATACAGATAATTCTAAATCAGATTTGATGATGTAGTTTTTTTACTTAACCGCATTGGTCTTACATTTGTATCCTTTAAACTGTGACAAAAGTCTTTGTTTTCAATGACACAAAATATTTACTTTATTTTACAGAATACCCACAACAGTCTCAGAATATAGTACCAAAATCAGCAACAATATGACTACTGAAAATTGTTTAAGATTTTGTTTTTTTGAGGTTCCATTTATCCTTATGGTTTATCCTACTAGAGATTCCCAGTCAGGTTATTATAGTTTAAAGTTACCACTTTGTGGCTGTGCCACCAACTGGATATATGCATTTTAGTTTGTTTCACTTTACTTTTTGGTTTTTAGAGATGACTTTTTCTTTTAAATTTTATTTTTTCTTTATATTTATGTAAAATATTCACTTGATTACAAAGTCAAATCTATATACAAAATTTGAGCTTCTATCACTACTATAATATTCTCTTCCCAAATAGTTAACTATTCTTAGGTTTATCTTTACATTGTTTCTTTTTTTCTTTCTTTTTTTTAAAATATGTTTTTGTTGTTTTTTTTTTTAGAGAGAGAGGAAGGGAGAGAGAGATAAAAACATTGATGTGAGAGAGAGACACTGATTGGCCACCTCCTGCATGCCCCACACTGGGGGTCGAATTCGCAACCTGGGCACGGGCCCTAACCTGGAATTGAACTGGGACCTCTCAGTCCACGGGAGGATGCTCAATCCATTGAGCCACACAGGCCAGGCTACATTGTTTTTCAATATAAGTAAATGTGTGTGTCTGTGGTTTTATCACCCCTTTTTCTAGAAATGGTAGCTTGCTATATACGTTTTTTCTGCGCTTGCCTTTTTCCCCCCACATAATAGTGTATCCTAGAGATCACAGTGTAGTGATATATAAGGATCTTCCTCATTTATTCTTGCAGCTGCCTAGGGCTTTCTTGTGTGGATGTACCATAGTTTATTCAACCAGAGTTATTTCCAGTGTTTTGCTGTACACAAATTGCTGCAGTGAATAGTCTTGTACATATATATGTCTTTTCATATTTTTGGAAAAGATCTGTAGAAGTAGAATTGCTAGTCAAGGACAAATATATGCAGTTTCACTAAATATCCCCATATTCTCTACCATATGAGTTGTGTGATTTCAAAGTCCCACCAGCTGTATGTGTGCTTATTTATTTACAGTTTCACCAACTTAGTTTGTCAAACTTTTGGATTTTTGCCAATCTGATAGGTAAATGATATATCTGTAGTTTTAATTTGTATTTCTTTTGTTTTATGAATGGACTTTTCTAGTGCTTAAGAACCATTTGTATCCTTTATTCTATATACTTTTTATATATCTAGCCAATTTTTGCTGTAGGATTGTTAACCATTTTCTTTATTTGTAGAAGCTCTCCATATATATATATATATGTATGTATATATATATATATGATATATTGATCTTTTCTTTTGATATAAATTGAAGTCTGTCGCCCCTCCCCATGGGCCCCCCTTTGTTTGTTTATCTTTCTCACTTTCCTTAAGGTACTTTTGTTTTGGTGATTTTAATTGAAGTTCCTGTTTAATAAGCCTGTAAATGTGAGGAACCAAAATATTTTATCCTTGGAGCCTTGGAGTGCATTATTCTATTCATTTATTTTTTATGAATTCCACTCTGATTTTTCTATATTATGAAGTCTGGGCCTCCCTGTGGCAATATGGAAAGCAGGTCTGCACATGTGTGGGTTCATCACTATTATTATATAGTGTTTGATTGATAAGTATTTAAATTAATAATTATATACTCTTTACAGAATATACATTAAATGCTAGTTAGAAAAGAAATAGTAGATACATTCTTTTTCTTTTTGGCAGCCTGGATAGAGTCCTGATTTTTCTACATGCTTACTGTACTTAAGATAAAGCTATTTCAAGATGTTTTAAACTACCAAATACTCTTGGTAGCAAATATTTTGCAAGTTTCTTTCAGCCTATTTCCAACACCTCTGAGGTACAAGTAATTCTGTGTTAATTCATTTAGCCTTGACTTTCTTTTGTGGAGTCAGCTGCTGAAAATTTCCGAGAATTTGGAGAACACAGCATGTCTTCTCCTTTGTTTTCTTCTAAAATCTGTCTTGGGGGATGTTGTTCCATTTGGACTTGGAAATAGCAGAGCAATTTATCTTTTGAGATGAGATTTCTGTGTTATGGAATCAGTCTTTTCATCTGTTTTAGAAAAATGTCTTTGGAATTGTTTTGAAGGGATGCTTTTCTGCCTCTGAGCTTTATAATCATAGCTGCATTGACACCCCTAGCCCCATCTCCCCAAGCCAAGAATCGACGCTGGGAGCCCAGGACAAGCTAGGACTAATTATTAAGTGACAATGAAATATCCAAATGAAGTGTCCAGAAAGTGCCACATGTATTGATTTGGAGTTTGAAACAAAGATCACGAATTTACATCTCTATAGTTATAGAATTAGAGAATTTTAAAGATGCAAGGGATACTAGAAAATCATTTAACCTATTTTGTACAGCGGAGGAGTCTGAAGCTCAGAGAGATTGTCTTATTTGCCCAAGAGTCCATATCCAGATATTGGAGTCCTCTGTAGGAAGGAAGCTTATAATTAAAGCTGTAAGAGAAGTTTCTCTGAGGGAGAGTGAAAGCACAGTGGAATGCCCAGTTAGAAATATGCAGGAGGTAGAGTTCCCACCAGGAGACCAAGTGCAATGATTGTATGGTTAGCTAGGACATTGGGAGAATGGAATCGTAGAAGCAAAGGGAGGAAAGAATTGCAATTAGTGGATAGTCAATGGAGTCATCTTACCCAGAAGTCGGGAAGGAAGAAAGGGTATTGAATTTGATCATTAGGAGTGCTTGGTAAATTTCACAAGTGCAATTTCTGCAGAGTGGGAGACAGAATGAATGAAAGAGTGCTGAGGAATTAAGAAAACAAAATAAATTTTGGCAAGTGATAGGAAATAGTAAGTCGTGAAGGCAGAAGCATGATGGTAGTATTTCTTGGGAAGGCCATTCTTGTTTTTATATTTTATGAGAAAGAACTAGTTGTGGGGTGGGGGAAGAAGTTGAGAATGCTAGGGAGGTAAAAATAAATGGGAAGTAGCAGGATCTACTAGCCATCCCTTCTTCCAATAGCTTATGGTTATTGAGCAGTATATTATATGCCAGGTACTGTTCAAGGTGTCTTTACATGTAATAATTCATTTAATTCTCAAAACTCTATGGGGCTGATACTATTATTATCTCTATTTTATAAAGGAGGAAACTGAGGCAGGTTAACTTACCCGAAGTCATATAATCAGTTGGTAGCACAGCCAAGATTCAAATCCAGTCTGGCTCCTTGAAGTCTGCTGAGTCAGCAAACTGTACTGCTACTCTTCCAGTTGTAAATGTTGTTCAGAAAAGGATTTTATTTCATTACAGAAGTAAATTGGAACCTGAAAAATATTGGGTCTAAAAATATTATATATTTTGTATGTATTTATTATAAAAGTCACTTGAATAATAATCATGATTTAAATATTCTTCTTTTTAGGTTGTGCATTATGTGTGACTGTTCCAATGAGTTTATTAAACTTTTATAGGTAAGTATTTTTTTTTTTTTTGGTACATGCCCTTACTGGGAACTGAACCTGGGACTCTGGTCCGCAGGCCGATGCTCCAACCACTGAGCCAAATCGGCCAGGGCAAATTTTTTTTAATTGGATAAGAAAATCTTTAGAAATTGCTATTTAGATGAATTTTAGGATCTTTTTTTCTTTTGGAATCTGGACATTTTGAAAAGGTTATGAAATCTGTATTGAATCTAGAATGAGGTTAGGATAATTTAGGATATCTATGGTGGCTTGTGTAGTCACTTCAATCATAGCACAAAACTACTTGTTCTTATTTTTTTGTTACAGTTTTGGGATCACCCAACAGTTTTCTAATTTGTCATTTTTTGTGAGTGAATCTATCCACAGGAAGGAGTATGTTCCTGTTGAATATTGATACATTTATATTCTATTTTTATAAATTGATTATCTCTAAGTTTACTTAACATGATTATAAAAAACAAAAACAAAACAAAAAACTTTTGAACTTGTATAGTTTAGGACCAAACCCTAGACACTATGCTGATTCTTTTCAAATAGCATTATAGAGACATTTCTGCCTGGGGAGGAGGATGGGGTTTGGGGAGGGGAGTAGCCCAGGTAGAATTTCATTTTCTGATTTATACACTTTCCCACCTTTGTGTAGCCACACTGAATTTCTTTTTGTGACCTGAATATATTCTGCTCTTTCCTTCCTTAGTATTTTTGCTCCATTGTTTCCTCTACTTGAAAAACTTTTTTTTTTAATCCTTACCTGAGGATATTTTTCCATTTTATCTTCAGACAGAGTGGAAGGAAGGAGAGAGAGAGAAAGAGAAAAACATTAGCATGAGAGAGACACATTGATTGGTTGTCACTCGGCATGACCCCGCCCAGGGTCAGGGACCAAACCACAACTGACCAGACTCCAACCCAGGACTCTTATCCATGGGCCGACGCTCTAACCGCTGAGGCAAACCGGCGGGAGCTTGAAAAACTTTCTTTTCTTGCTACTTCCTCCTTCAGCTCTAAAATCTGTCGGCAGAACCCTCTCCATATCAAGCCACACTCTATGAACCTTCCCTGTTTATTGCAGCTGGCAGTCATTCATAGAAACCATAAAATTTAAAGCTCTGAAGGTCACAGAGATTATTTGAGTCATTTCCTCCTCATCTTTTATTTATTTATTTTTATCCTCACCCGAGGGCATTTTTTTGTTCAGATAGAGTAAGAGGGAGGGAGAGGGAGAGAGAGAGGGAGAGGGAGAGAGAGAGGGAGAGAGAGAAAGAGAAAGAGAAATAGAAAGAGAGAAAGAAACATTGATGTGAAAGGGACACAGTGAGTGGCTACCTCCTGCACAACTCAACCAGGGCCAGGGACAAACTGCAACTGAGGTACATGCTCTTAGCGGGAACCAAGCCCGGATCTCTTGGGACTGCAGGCCGACGCTCTAACCGCTGAGCCAAACCAGCCAGGGCTCCTCATTTTTTAAAGATGAGGTCCTGACTGGGCAACATCGTGGCCAAGGGCACATAATCAGTGGCAGAGTCAGGGCTAGAATTTGGGGCTCTGTTCAGGTGAGCAAACGTGCCTAGAGACACTAGACTGCTATCAGCAGTCTCATTTCAGAATCTTCCGTGGAACTAGTTCTCACTCTGAATTCTGTGTCACTTGTATCATAGTAGCACTGTGAGGTCCTCTTCTAGTACTGCTTTGTGTTCATTTTATTTTCTTTATTAAAATATCTCATGGCGATTTTCAACCTTTTTCATCTCATAGCACACATAAACTAAAATTCTGCAGCACACCAAAATATATATATTTTTTGCTAATCTGACCAAAAAAAAAAAGATATAATTTTGATTCATTCACACCAGGCCACTATTATGGTGGCTACTGTCTTTTTTTTTTTTTTACTTTGTAGATGAATTTATTGGGGTGACATTGGTTAATAAAATTATATAGGTTTCAGGTTGTTGTCATTTTTTAATTTGACAATCTAAGGGAAAAGAGGTCAGTGCCTCTGACTAAATAGTTAGGTATTGCATGTTTTACAAGTTCTTGTAGCACACTGGTTGAAAATTGGCTGTCATAGAACAAAGATCAAGTTTTATTCATCTTTTCATTCCAGGGGTAAAAATGGGACTGGGTCAGAGGACTCCATTTCTAGTCCTGACCCTGCCACTTGGTAGCAAATTGTGTAAACTTAAATTCTCACATCCCCACTTAACCTGTTAAAATGGGGTTAATAATGTTTATTCTTACCTATGCCATAGGATTGTGGTGAGTATAAAACTAGAGAATAAGTTTGAAAATACTTTAAAAACTATAAAATGCAAGTATAATATAAATTTTATGTGTAATAATGTTCTTTGTATTACCTGATTTTTTTTTTCCAGAAGCTATAAAAATAACACCTTGAAACACAGTTCAGTCTATGAAGCTCTGGTCCCCTTCTTTTCCCCATGTTTGCTATTCATTTTGTCTACAGCATGGATTCTCCAGTCACCTTCAGATATTTTAGAGATGCATCCTAGAGTATTCTACTTTATGGTTGGAACAGCCTTTGCCAATATCACAGTAAGATTTTTTAATTTTAAAAACTATAATATATAAGGAATGTATGACAGAATTGATCATTTGAGAAGCCTTATACATATTAGAATAAGCAGATTTTGATTTAAAGATATTTTAATTCAAAATTTGAAAAAACAATCTCAAAAGCAGAACATGCTGAAATTGTTTTATGTTTCCCTTCGAAACTAGTAGGATTTAGAGACTGCAGTAGTATACTTAAGTTTTTTTGTTTTGGTTGCCGGCTGAAGAATTTATGGAATAATTTATAGATTCCCTTCAGACAGTAAATATGATTAACAGTGTCATTGAAATGGCTATAGACCTAATAATTAGTTTGGGAGCTTGAAGGGGTTTGTTTTTGAGAGAAAACACATGATACACACACCTTCCACACATTTTTTTTAATCAACTAATTTTTAAATTAAGAATACGTAATTATAAACAATATAATACATACCACATTATTTTTAAAAATCAGGAGCTGAGAAAAGACCCTGATAGTTTATTTATTTATTTTTTATCCTCACCCGAGGACATTTTTCCATTTTTTGTTCAGATAGAGTGGGAGAGAAGAGAGAGAGAGAGAGAGAGAGAGAGAGAAACATTGACGTGAAAGGGACACATTGAGTCGCTGCCACCTGCACGACCCAACCAGGGCCAGGGACAAACTGCAACCGAGGTACGTGCCCTTAGTGGGAACCGAACCAGGGTCTCTCTGGACCACAGGTTGACGCTCTAACTGCTGAGCCAAACCGGCCAGGACTAGACCTTGATAGTTTTGACAGCCAGGAAGCCTGTGCCACTGAGTTTAATGTTTTTATGTATAAAACGTATATATGAAAGAATAAAACTATATTTGAATAAGGTATTGAAAGTAAAGGGAGGCAAAGAGGTTTTGAGGTATTAATATGGTAACATGACTGAATTGGAGGTATCGATGGTTCATCTCCGTGAAGAAATTTAGTTGGAGGAGGTAAGGTGGGAGGCTGTTTTTTTTTTTTTAAATCCTCACCTGAGGATATTTTTTCATTGAATTTTAGATAGAGTGTGGGGGAGGTGGAGAGAGAGAGAGAAACATCAATTGGTTGTTGTTTGCCTGCCACACAACCCTGACCAGAGACAGGGATGGAACTGCAAACAAGGCACATGCCCTTGACCAGAATTGAACCTGCAACACCTTGGTCCTTGGGCTGACGCTCTAACCACTGAGCAAAACTGACCAGGGCATGTTTTGAAAAAATTTTTTTAAAGAAACATAGAATCTTGAAATTGGGAGAAACTTTTACCCAAACTGTTACCCAGTGGAAGAATGACTTCCATAGCATCCTTACTAAATTATCTTACACTCTTCTGACACATACATGGTCGGAAGGTCCACAGGTTTGGAGGTGGGCACAGAGATCCAGTTGGCCCCGGATCAGTGGAGACTACTGAACTTAATGTAATGTAAATGTGTTGGCTCACATACTTGAATGTGTTTTAAGTGTTAGAGTGACAAGTTTTGGAAGTGGTTTGTTAATTAAATGCTTTTTCCTCCTCCTTTTTTTTTTTTTCTTTTTTACTAACTTCAAGTGTCAGCTGATTGTTTGTCAAATGAGCAATACCAGGTGTCCAACTTTGAACTGGTTGCTGCTTCCTCTCTTCTTGATTGTCATGGTGGTAAACTTAGGAGTCACCTCTTACACTGAGAGCATTCTTCTGTATTCATTAACAACCGCTTTCACTCTGGCCCACATCCATTATGGAGTACGAGTGGTGAGTAATCTAGAACAAAATTGGTTCCATTTGGTTCTTACAAATACCGGAAAGAAGGTGAGGGAAGTAAGTGTAAAAGAAAGTTTGCTTATAGTAGTTGGAAGAATTTTTATATATTCTCTAAATTTTGGATAATATTCAGGTGTGTAATTTTAAATTTTATTTCTCTAATAAATGTGTTATCATAACTACAAATAATTTAAAAGCTGGATAATTATAAGGAATTAGTTCTTGTTTTTAAGTCAGTAGAAATGTGAATAGAATTATAAGCTCTTGTGATTTTAATTATATAAGACTAGATAATTTCATTTGTTGATTATTTCTATGCATGCTTTTTTTTTTTAAATCCTCACCTGAGGACATTTTTTCATTTCTTGTTCAGATAGAGTGGGAGGGAGAGAGAGGGAGAGAGAGAGAGAAACATTGACGTGAAAGGGACACATTGAGTGGCTGCCACCCGCACCACCCAACCAGGGCTGGGGACAAACTGCAACCTAGGTACGTGCCCTTAGTGGGGACCAAATCCGGGTCTCTCTGGACTGCAGGCCAACGCTCTAACCGCTGAGCCAAACTGGCTAGGGCTATGCATGCTTCTTTAGGCACATTTTTGTTGCTCGTTAACATAATTTGGAGAGAAACTGAAATTGGTTTTGTAGCGCTGCTGCCTCCCTCCCTCCCTCTGCATGTGGTAAGGGAGGTTAGAACTTCAGACTAAAGGAAGGCTTTTGCATTTGAGGTTTTACTTCATCTGTGCTATTTCTGAGTTCTCATCAGGAGAAATACTAAATAGGGAAATATAGAAGAGAAAGGATTTGAGAATTACTATGCAAACAGTAATACTCTCTTTAAAATAAGAGACTAGTGTCAGGACAAATAAAATAAAATGAAAATCAGAACCATGCAGTTTATTTTCTTTTTCATCACACTTTAACATTCTTTTCTAATTATTTTAGTATGATCTCATAATTATGATTTTTAAATTGTATAGCATATTCTGTCAAGGAGATTGCTTAATAGTAACTCAATTTACTTAATTATGATGCAGTTATTTTAGTCATTTAGGTTGTTTCCATATTTTCACTATTAGAGGTAATGTTGGAGTGAGCAATTTGGAATAATTTTCTCTCATTTCATTTATTTTTTGAGGATACTTTCACAGGAGTGGGGTTATAGAGAAGGCTATTCACACTTTTATGTCTCTTAAAATACTTCTATTTGGTATGCTTGTTTTGAAAGGAACCCTGCTGTGAATCAGTTTGAGAAACAATTATATATTGTTCATATTTATAAAGTGGGGCACACCTGTCATGTTTGATAACAACTTTACACTTTGCATATGTTGCTGAACTTAGGTGTTCTTTTCTTATGTTTCTCCCCAAAGTAGCCCACATTTATTGGGATAAAGTTGATGAAATTGTTATGGAAAGAAATCATGATAAGCCTATGAATTATGATATGAAGACATAATTGTGTTTTTATTTGTGCAAAGTTAACATTATGCTTTATAGCAACATTTGTAGGCCTTTATCCTGATATTTCATCAGTCAGATGCATAAAGTGCAACACAGGTGCCATTGTCTTTCATAACTGATTTAATTTACTATAGCCCTTCAGAAGCATATCTTCAGAAAATGATACATACACAAAACCAGACCAAAACACATTTTCTTTAAATTACCAAGGTACTACAGTTTCTTTGTTATAAATATGGAAAATAAATACAAGCTAACAGAAAGAAATTTCAGGAGTATCTTTTATCTTTTTTTTGTCTGTCTTTGTGTTCTCTTACCACTTCTACAACTTCTGACCAGGAGGTAAAACTTGCTAAGTCAGACAAAACATTCACTGGAACTACTGAAATACAAATAATACAAATAAGAATAGAAATAAGAAATATCAGACAAATGATATTTACTAACTGGCACATAACCAAGCTCTAGCAGTGGATTTAGGCAGACCCAGGTTTAAGTGCTAACTCTCCCAGGGTAGTTCTAGTACTCTTATTTAGCCGTCTACGTCTATAGCTATCCTAACCCAGAAAAACCTTCATTATTTATGATGATTTTTGCAGTGTCAGTAAATTGTTGTCTTCAGAGGGTGAATTCTGTGTGCTTTAAAAAGAAAAAAATTAGGTACGTATTAGTCACTGCCTCCTGTTCTGGTTTTCTACAGGTAAAGCAGCTGAGCAGCCATTTTCAGATTTACCCCTTCTCATTGAGGAAACCCAACTCAGATTGACTAGGAATGGAAGAAAAGAATATTGGCCTATAATCTAAAGAAAGAAGTACTGTAAATAAGATGCTTATGAATATTTCATCTATCACCATTGAACTAAACTGATCTGCTTAACAGACATGGGAACTCTGTGTGTGGTACTTGTACAGCAGGAATGAGCTATATAATCCGAAATGTGGAATTTTGAACCTACTAATGCCCAGTTTATTTTATTTTTTATAAAACCATGTGATATTTTGGTTAAGTATAATCTACATTAGACCAGCAAAATGTTTCTAGTGATTTTAGCTTCATGAGTCCATTGTGTTTTGGTTCATACAGAGTTAAAGATGCTTTATTTTTATTATTTTTAAAACCCCCAGATTAGTTTAGGATACTGATAGCATTCAGAAAACCACAAATATGTTTTCATATTTGGTACTTAGTAGTAGATTGTTAGCTATGGAAACTATCAGTAGTCCACATCTTAAGTAGGGAATAGATAAGAGCAAGTCACCCTCAGCAAGAGATGCCAGATGTTTACAGAACAATATACAGGGTTGCCAATATACTGGTTTCTCTTTCCCATGGAAATGCCTTTGTCCTCATGGGCTAAAAGAGCTAATATATGTTTGGATTCTCTAGTATTCTCACTCTCTCTGTTATGTAACAGAGCTTGGTAAATGGTTTAGTTTTCTTTTAAAGAAAAAATATTCTATTGAGACTTAGTAGAGAATGGATTGAAATTGTAGCTCACCCATGGCATGGTTCATTGTTTAAAAGTGGAGTTTCCTCCCCCGGCTGCAAGTTGCTGAGATTTGGTGCCTGTGAACTATGATTAAATGAATCTGTGTACCAGTGTGAGTCTTACGATAATGACTTCACCTTCAAGGAACACAGGTAAACTTCCTTATTGGCGAATTTACTTTGGAGTTAGGAATCTCATGAACCTCACTACAAAATTAGTTTTGTGATTCAGTTTGGCCTTTCTTTCTTCCTTCTTCTCTCTCCCTCTATCTTTTTTTTTTTTTTTTTTTTTTTTATGGAGGAGAGAGTGCTATATTTTTTATTTCATTCAAAATAAGTAGAGAGAAATTCTCTCTTCTCCAACTTGCCCACCTTGAAGAAAATATTTGATATATATATGCCTTACTGAGAGAATGTACTCTCTTTAATATAATTTGGAATACTTTTTGAGGTTTACTGACAAGCATCAACATCTCTGTGATTTTAATGTGGTTGTTTTATAGATCATACCTTTTCATGAATGTGGATATTTTCTTCTTTATCTTTTTCATTTTGTCTTCATTTACTTTGGTGGTGGTGAAATTTACTTCCTGATTTTCTTTTGTTTTCCACTGAATGAAGTTTGTGCTTGAATGAAGAGTGTATCTTAAACCCTTTTTTTTTTGGATGGATTACACTTGGATAAAAAAGGCACCACTGTATTGATATGTAATTAAATTCATAACCATTATTTATCTATGAATGTGACCATTTTAAAATTTAATTATAGTGTATTCCTTTGTTGAACTTCTGTCTGCTGCTTTGTAAAAATAACTATGTAATTGATATTTCAATTTTTAAATTTGTAAATTCTAATGATTTTCATCTAGGTTATTAGAAATGAACAAAGAACTAACTCATGATTCTGTACTCATTTTTTAAAATGTTTGTAAAGACTGAGGTAAATTCAGTGACTTTCTCTGAAACAGAAATGAACTGAAAACAGGTGAGAAATTGATGCTGAAAAGTCTGGGTAATAATTTCATGTTCGTTGATAAGTTGCCAGCATAGAGGTCAGAGAACAAATCTGTGTACATTGTTCTTTGTCATCTGTAAAATTGAACTGGATAGTGTTTGGGCTGGGAACAGAGCTTTGTGTTAAGGTTTCTAAGCTAATGATTTTACTTTTTTTGGGTTGTTGTTGACCTTATACACAAGAATGAGATTAATCTGTATTATATAAGAAAGGAACTGATAAATATTTATAAAATGACAAGTTTGGACCACAGGCTCTCTTCACCTTTCATAGTATAGTCAGAAAATGTCTCCTACTTCTGGCACAGGGTCCATGTCCTATAATTTTGGGGCTTTTACCTCAAAGTGTGTTTCTGCTGTCTTTCTGTTGCATCAGTTTTATTTGGAAATTGTTTTGTGCCTATACTTTATGACTTATTTCCCTGTGGTGGTGAAGAATTATGCCATAGTCGGTTTTATCCACATCCTTAGATGAAGGAAAGGTGGCTTCCACAAGGTGGAAGTGGAACTGAGGCCTACCTGTCCAGAGTCCGCGAACGTGTGCACCTGGAGTGCTGCTGACCTCGCTCGGGTTTAGTCCGTCATCTTGAAAGCCCCCATTTGTTATGTGGTACTAGGGTGTGCGAAGCAGTTACAAATAGCTCTGTGGACTATGTCATGCCAATTAACATTTCCAAAGTATAAAAGACATTTTCGGCTTTTGCGTGATATTTTGGAGTGAGTTCACACCTCAGCCTTTCTCTCAGCATACACTGAGCTGCCTTGTGGGGGAGCAGTGGGAGGGCTGGTCACCCATCGTGTTTTCTGTCCATTTCGGAATAGAGTGCCTTAGCCGGGCCAGAGGCTTGCTTTGTGTTTCTGTTGGCCAAAGTTACTCAGACCTGTAAGAGAAGTTTCTTTCCAGGTTTTGGTATGAAAAAACGTCCTTTCTTGCTTGTCAGAAAATAATCCCCTACATTTGAGGGAGGCATGGGATAGAAAAGTTAGAAAATTACCTGGATAGAGCAGGTTAATGCTGCCTTTTGTGATCCTTTAATAACATCACCTTAGTGCTGTGCACAGTTTAAACCATCATTCCTCCACTATATGTAATAATTATAGTTGATGGGTTTTAGTCTTAATGGTAATAGAGTGAATAATTTCCAAATAAAAATAAATAATCTTCCTTGATATTTAATAATATCATGGTTAACATACTTCTAATATTCATTTCAAAAGTAAGTTAAATGCTGATTATAGTCTAGAATGTTACAATACTACCACCAACATGTCGTTTATTTTCATATAGAATTGTTGGGAAGATGAGTATATGTCTAGATTGACCAAATACTAAATTAGATATCAAAAGAGCATTGTCCATGACCTGAAGCCTGGGCATTGGGGGAATATGCAAGGAAGAGGCATATGTAATATCTACTTTGAGGGGTAAAGGAATCACCTTAATGCTAATGCCCTCAGGGCCCAGTGATTTAAATGTAATGCACAGTCTAAAATTGTTACAGTTTAGCTCATCATTCCTCCACTAGTTTCAGATTCAAATGTGAATTTGAAAGTTTCCTAAGTGTTTCATTTTCAAAGAATTAGTTTATTTTGTAGTCAGTCATAAAGCATTTGGAATGTACCTTGCTTTCCAAAGGAGACTTTGATTCTATAACTTATGGAGAATAAAAAGATAATATGAAGGTATTTGAATCAAAGGCTACTAGAATTCTGTTTATAACTCTTCCTCTTCAGTCTTCACCTGGGTTTCATTTTCACTAGCCACCGCCTGGGACAGAGATGCCCACTTGCCGTGTTGCCCTAGATCTTGCCACATTCAAATCTCCTTGATTGCCTTAGTTGTCCTGTCTAGTCGAGGACTGGGGACGTGCCAGAGGGAGCAAAGGAAACCTGATGAGCTAGAGCGTTTGACTTTGGGTCCCCAAATAAGCCAGAAACAGATCCAGACATTTTTGGTTATGTTGACGATTCCTGTGTTCAGAGTGGCCTTTATCTTGACCTCAGTTCTGGACTTGATGAGCACACCCTGTAGGACATTTGTGAAGTCAGACTAGAATTTTCTTTGTCTTGTGAGATTTCTTTGTAAGGTAGCCAGCCCTTTCTTGAACATCCTGGGGGTGAATAACCTAATTAACTTAGCTGCCAGTACTAGAACCTTCCAGGAGTTTAAACTAGTAAACTAGTATTTGAAGCACTTTGACGTGTACATTTAAAGTGACAATTTTAACAATAAAATGGTGTTAAATTAATCGCTGTGAAACTTGAAAGTGTGATGCTCTGCATTTTAGAAAGCTTATGTAGATTCTGATTTTCCTCTATTAATTATGAAATCCATGTGATTTGTATATTGTACTTTCCATCTTTGACAGTAGTTCAGATAACTGACATTGGCAGGCAGCTACTTTTAGGGTCCATGGTAAATCATGGTGGTTTAACTTTTCCAGAGAAAGTGGCGATGTGCTTTCTTCTTCCTTGTGTGGAGCCATGGGAATTGGATTTATTGGCTAGTTCATTTCCAGTGTTTCTAGAGTGCAAAATAAATGTAACCATACTTTTAACCTGCATGCTAGTAATATGCTTTGCTTTTTAGTGAACAGATATGCAAGAGATAGTAATCTGGCTGATTTTGTTTGTTTTTAATCAGGGTCTGCTCTTTATTGGACAGATCTTAAAAGCTAATATTTAGGGTAGTAAAAGCAGTTTTGCCATTTGTAGCCTTCTCACGGGTGGCCTGAGCCAAGGGAATTGTGTTGCATTTGGTCAGAAAGCGTTTCCAGAATTGGAAAGTAGCACGTGGACTGATGTTAGAATATTTTAATAAGGGCTTATCTTCTTAGGAAAGTCCATTTGGACGCAGCAGGAGTGTCTGGTCCTCCGCAGATCATTCACATTGCCTTAGTCTTCACAGAATCATTCCTAGAAAGCCAGACTAAATCAAAGTGGTGCTGTTTTTAAAGCATGTCAGTTGGATCATGGCCATAGTGTACCTAATGCTACATTGAGATTAGAGACAGGTTTGAAGATGGAGTGGTAGGTGCAATGGGTGCCTACTGGCTCTTTGGCTACAGTCTTTTCTTGAGCATTGTCTCTGGGTAACGATTAAATTAGAATTAAATGTTTTATTAAAACGTACACAGTTCTCCATGAATTCTAGATTCTGGTATTCTTGACAAACACTTTTTATTATCTAAAAAGTAAGTTCTTGACCAGGAACATGTTTAGTTAGTACTTGATATTACTAATCAGGAGCCTGTTTTAATTTTACAAGATCTATGAATGCTGCATTATAAACCTGTTTAAAATACTGATATCACTCAGTATCAGACTTTGAGTTTAATAAGTGCTATTTAAGACTGCCCCACGATATTAACAACTTTTTGAGGTTATTTTGTTTAGATAACTTACCCCATTAGAGCAGCCATTCAGGAGACGAAGACCCAGCTACATGTGTTATTTACTCATTCTGAAATGTGCCAAGAAAGCAGAATTTAGCATTTTGTCCAAATTCCAAATTTTTAAAAAAGTAGCAGTTGCGCTGGGTAAAGGGGGAGGCAGTGAGTAATTGCCTGGGTGTGTAGAGGTGTCAACTCCCTGCTGCCTCTTCTCCCCTTTCCCCCCCCCTCGTAAAATAATAGTTTGGATACTTTTCTGAGTAAGGTTTCATGCCCCATGACTAAGAATAGGGGGCAAGAATCATGGCGGAATGAATTATTGAGTTGTTCCTGTTGCAGTTTGCTTTCTGTAGTATTCTGAAACAAAAGGACGGTCCCATCCCTTCTCAGGTACCTGGAAACAATATCACTCAAGCAACTGGAATATATTTGCTACAGATAGAATAAATTAGAGAAGATGAAGAGGAGCACAAAATCTTACTTTCCTTTTCAAATAGTTTAATTGAACATACTTGTAACCAGTCTGTCTAGGACTTGCTGTGTTCATAGTAAATAATGTAGCATTTGTTTTGTCTGGTTATGTGTGGTGTGTGTATATACATATTTAATATGTACACATGTATTCTGTGCATATATATGTATGATATATTCATATCTACATGCAGTCTCCTCTTGATTATCAGCGAAGTGGTGAGCCCTCAACGCACTTTCTTCACGTTGACGTAGCCTGCATGCAGCCCGCAACTCCGTGGAGCCTCTCCCTCATCGGGAGCCACAGTCTTTCCTCTTCTAGCTCATCTCAGTCCCCAGGAACGGCCCTGGAAATAAGTCCCTTTTCAGTTC